ATCCCAGTCTTCCAGCCAAATGGTGGTCAGGAAATGAATACAACGTCTTACCCATTGGTCAACCTTGGTGAACCCTGAACTAAGTTCCCCACAGGTTTAGAAAAGAATACAAAATTAAAAGGAAAAAACAATGAAACAATACAGATTTCAGTATTCTGAGCCCCTACTCTCCCCATAACTGACGGCAACAAAAGTCCTACATTATTCAATTAAAATAAAGAAGTAAAAACAATAAGTGTGGCTTGATATTGAGTTAGACAAAGGTTGATAGACGCTGTGAGAATGGATCTGCGGGTAGCATTCGCTCGCGATCTCAAGTCGTCTACAACATACGTTTAGGGAGCTATATAGAAGCCTATGGACATCTCCGGAAAGTTGAAAATGTACGCTAAAGACTTGACATAACGTCAACATAGGCCAACCTGGGAGTGAGGATGTGTTGAATCTGTCAGTCTATTTCTGGAAAGAGCCCAGAACCTCGTGCAACAATACATTTGATTACACAGGGCGTTGCCCATACATTTATGATTGGTTGAGACTAGATGGAGAGTAACCTTGGTTTAGACTTTGGCTCTCTCTCGTTATTTACTGAGGTCCCTGAACACACCGCCGCACGCTCTTGTGTGAGTGCGGGCTCCACCATAATGCAGCCCTTACCACTACGGTAACCTGCATTAACTGGAGTCTTTGCTCTAGGCGTAGTGTGTTCTCTGACAGTAATACGGCGGCCATAATGTCCCTGTACCCGCATAGCACTAAGATAGCGCTTCCTGCGGTTTATCACTCTCATCTGCGCATGCCCACTAGCCACCTCCCGTACAGGAGCTACAGCTGGGGCGGCGAGTGGGGAATTTGTACAGTCATCATTATGTGTAAGTGTAGCATTGTGGAAACAAAGGACACTTAGACTTGGATACAGATCAACTTTAATTTTATTGGAAAAATACCTTGTTGTGATCTGTGCATTAAACAGGGAGGAGGCGGGAATTTGCCCTTGCGTCCCGGGCGGAGAGACTCTCTCCCCCCGCCGGGCCACTTCCTCCCCCCGCCAGTCAGCTCCGGGAAGACGGAGCACCCCACCCGGCCGCTCTCTGCTGCTGAGGAGCCTGCCGAGGTCGGGCAACCCGTCCCCATGAATGCCGGTACGTCGGTTCCACGGGATGGGCCATAGGTTGGAGGGCGCCGCGGCCACGGAAGCCCCGTGCCGGCGCCTCTCCGTCCGTTTCGCTCCCTTCCGTTGCGCTCCCTCGCCTGTAGGGAAACCCGTGGAGGAGCTTGCTGCGGTATTTATATATTTATGATCCACGTCACGTATTCAGTTTCGGCGGCATTTCTTCCAGTTTGTCCAGAAGTTTTGTAATCAGGGCTCTAAAAATAGAGAACTACGGCAGATGTGTAATATTTAATGCTACCGAACCATGTATTACAATGCCGTTATGTGACGACTTTCAATGAGAAAAGCAAGCAAACTCGGAATAAAGTATTCTTTTATTTTATTTATTTTGGATTTTGGATTTCACATCGCATAAACACCATATCCCAACGTGCATTGCGGCTAAAACATCCAAGCACCGAGCTTCAACGATAGCTGAGGATTATGGGTAGTTTGATGTTTTATGTTAGATCAAAACCTCTGAAAAAGAAATGTGTCTCTCAGAATCGAAAGGGAAAAACCTATGGAAAAACACAAAAGCAGTGTTCACAATTTAAACCAATTAATGTCATCTAATTAAGGATAAACTGTTGTTTTTTAGTGGATGAGTAGTGCAGATATCACTTTAAAATCATTTGACAGTGAGGGGAATACGGTTTTATTATGAAAACTTCGAAACCGCAAATACTGTTTTCACCCCGTGAGGGTTGACGGTAGCTTTACATGGACGCTGCCGCATATACACGTTCTCCTGGCGAGACCTCAAATCATCTTCGTAATATCTATCAAACTATAGATCCTACATATCCACTGAAAGTGAATTCTAAAAGTACAATATACACTTTTTGCTAGAAATATAATCAAAAAGCATTTGAATCGCCAAACTATCCTACAATTTAGGATTTTCCAGAGAGGGTTATTTGTGAATATACGACCCTCCGGAGCGTCTGCAGTCAACGGGAGCACTAGAGTTAGAAAACTTTAAAACGTGATTATACGTCGTAATAAGCGCTTGAACAATCGACCTATTTGGTCGTATGAGTTGGAGGACTTGTTGCTCCAATCACTACATATGACTCCATTAATACCTATACAATGGATAGTTGTAGCTCAAATGGTCTGAGCAAGAGGATTTATGTTCAGTAGTGGTGACCCTGGTGACAGACTTAATATGACTCCCTAATCATCAGACTGTCCAAACCTAAAAATAATGAAGAAAAAACTATTAACATGGCATTAAGTTGCATTTCTATTGGTACTTTAAAACTTTAAAATGATTATGGATAAATTGCTCTGCCATGATAAGCAGTGGATGATACATCATTTCTTTGATTGCTGTTAAGGGCCCTGTTTGAATGTCTAAAGCTTGGCCACATGAAAACGCTTCATATTGCCCCAAAGCTGTAATAAGCAGCACATCCAGTAATCCACACGCATGCAGCGTGGCTAAACAGTGCCAGCTGAATGTGTTTTCCTGAGTGTGTGTTTGTGTGCCCTTGCAGAGACGGAAGAAGGACAGATGTGCCAGAAGAACTGAGAAACTCCAAAGTCTCAAGCTTTGCCCCTTCCATATGTCCCCCCTTCCCTCTGTCTATAAGTTCCTCTCTTCTTGTCCTCCATACCCTCAGTCAGCAGATGTGTTTGTAATGGAACATTTAGCATGGTCGTCAAAAGAAACGTAGGCTTGGTATATAAATCACTTTTGTTAGGCCCAGAAAGGTGCACATATAAAAGTATGACCATGCATGGGAAATATGACTGTGAGGGCTAGTGGAAAAGTCCTTGTATAGCTCCATTACGAAGAGAGAAAGCGAACGGAAGACAAAAATACTCCAAACAATCAGAATATCAAAGCAGATTCTCTTGCAAGCAAGAGAAAGACGTGTATGGATGAAAGACTAATGGCAGCAAGTGTTTATTATATTTGTAAATGCTTTTGGAATTTCAAGCAATTGAAGACTGTACCTTATGGAAGATGGATGGAAACTCTGCTTATGACAGTAGGCATTTGTGTGTGGTCATTCTGCATAATGACTTTTGCCTATCACTTTAGATGTCGCATTACATACCAAATAGTAAGAGAGTTCCATTCATTCATACTGGTCGGTGTTTTCATCCCACTGCATGCGAACGTGCAGGAGGCGCAGCGCACACTCGCCGACCAGATACTGTGTGTGGAGAGGACTTATCCGGACTGTCTAGTTATTGATCTTGGTGACTTTAACAAAGGCAACCTCAGCCATGAACTTCCAAAATACAAACAGTTTATTAAATGCCCCACCAGAGAGGGGAATATATTGGATCACACCATCAAGGGAGCCTACCGCACCGTCCCCCGCGCTGTGCTGGGCCAATCTGACCACACCATGGTACACCTGATTCCTGCATACAGGCAGAAACCCAAACTCTGCAAACCTGTAGTAAAGACATTCAGGCAGTGGAGCAGTAAAGATATGGAGGATCTTCAGGCGTGTTTGGACTGTACTGACTGGGATATGTTTAGGACTGCAACTCAAAGTCTGGATGAGTATACAGAGGCTGTGACGTCATACATCAATCAATCAATGTTTATTTATTTAGCCCAATATCACAAATGTTACATTTTTCCCTGATCAAACATGACCAGAGGCGTGGGAAGGTATTTTGAGTGGGGGTGCTGAGGTGCTGGACTCCAGTGAACACTATATAGAGCACGCACACAAGCGCGAACACCAGGGGCGATACAGTGGAATGTTCTACTGCAACACTCCCCACACCCAAACACACAGTACACCCGTGACTGTTGTTACAATGAAGGCTCGATAATCAGCTCACGGCATATAGGCAGGGGTAAAGTGCTGTTTTTTACGAGTGGGGAGCGGACTTCACCTCCTCTAGGGGGGTCCGGGGGGACGCTGCCCCCGGGAAGATTTTTTTTAAATATTGAAGTTAAAACACACACACTAAATGCGCTATTTCCACACACACACAGAGCCGAGCTTGAATGACACAGGCACACGTTTATTTCCATGCAACTCTCTGATTGGTCTGGTGTCTTGCCTCTGTTGCATTCACTGAACACGGGAAATTACAGTCCTGCCGTCCTCTCTAGTGTCATGATGAGATTCACGTAAAGCACAGTTAATGTATTATATTATTGAGGTAGAATTGTCCGGGGCTACAGAAAAAACATTCGGGGCAGGCCAGGCGACGCCACTGGCAAGCACACACACCTACAAAGATGTAAAATATTATTTTACCAACAATGTGGAATTTATTGGCTACATATTACACAGATTATGCACAGCAGGAGCAGCAATAACCGTCAAGTAATAATTCAGACAGGGGAGCTCCGCACCGCCTGCCTGCCGCTAGGGGGTGCTGCAGCGCCCTCAGCACCTCCCTTCCCGCGCCCATGGCTCGTGAAATGCAACAACTTTTCGGTTTCACCGGTAGGATTTCTACACTCTTGGTGATGCTGACTCTGGATCTCTTCAATGACTGACTCAGAAGACTCAGAGTCCGTAAAAGGATCCGGATTTGCCATCTCCAATGGAGATGCAGTTATTTCCAGAATTCTTTATTTACCATTCATTCAAGTATTGTATGCCTTTTATCTGCTAATGTACAGGAGGAAGAGTGATAAACTGTCAGTCTAGTTGGCTTACATAACAGTTAAACTTTACAGCCGTTTACAGCCATAAAAAACATGGAACATTTTTTCCCCTTTTATTCTTTTTATGTCAATTTGCACATTTCATCGGTTGATGCTCAGCCTCTCCCCTTAACTCCTAACCAGGGACGCGTGCAACAGGTAGGCCTACAGGGCTAATGTTGCCGTTTTGCCAATTTTTTGTCTGACCTCCTGAACCCTGAAGGGTTTTTTTCTTTTCTGTTGTGGCCGGAATAAACATGATAAGCCCACAATTAAGTATTGTAGCTCTCCTGCCGGGAAAACACACCCGGGAAGTTCAGCGCTGTCTCTGCCCCAGTAACGTGACTTTGTTTAACAAATCTGCGGCTTGGCCCTGGAAAGCAAAGGAAAGCCCTCTGAGTCCAGCGCCTCAATACAGTATGGCTAATGGTGATCACAGCCAAATGCCGCCTGGCTTGGGTGGCCCAATCCCCCGGTCGTCATCTGTCCCCGTTTTTAATATGCTTTGTACTGACCACTCTAGTGTCGGATTTGAGAAAATTGGATTTTTAGTTTTCTCGATGCAGTTAGACTAGGGGACAAACCAGGGGACTCTGTACTTCGTCTTGACACGTCGGTTATTTACAAGAAAAACACCTAAATACTACTTGTTATTATGCTTCTGTCTTTCTGTGTCTTTTCACTGTAAACTCCTTCACCGCTCGCTCTCTTTTCTTGATCGCCCCTCTCACGGAGACACACGTTCCTGTCCCGCTTCATTGTTAGGATTTCTGCCATGTCTCACTCAGTTTGGACCATCTCTGTTATTAAGTTATGGAATACTAGATGAAATAAGTACATTAGATACCTTGCGTTCACTGCGCGCATAAAGAATGAATAAGAATAA